GAGTAGAAGCAGGAGCAAGAGCAAGAGTAGGAGCAGAAAAAGGAGCAAGAGCAGGACCAGGAGCAGAAGAAGGAGCAGGAGCGAAAGCAGAAGAAGGGGTAGGAGCAAAAGAAGGAGAAGGAGCAAGAGCAGAAGCAGAAGAAGGAGCAGGAGCAGAAGCACTAGCAGGAGCAGTAGCAAAAGCACTAGCAGGAGCAGAAGCAAGAGAAGGACAAGGACAAGGAGCAAGAGAAGGAACATGAGCAACAATAGGAGAAGGAGTAGGAGCAGGACCAGGACCAGGTGTAGGAGAAGGAGCAAGAGCAAGAGTAGGAGCAAGAACAGGAGCAGGAGAAGGAGCAAAGCTGGAGCAGGAGAAGGAGAAGGAGCAAGAGCAGAAGAAGGAGTAGGAGCAGGAGCGGTAGAAGGAGAAGGAGAAGGAGCAGGAGAAGGAGTAGGAGCAGCAGGAGAAGGAGAAGTAGCAGGAGCAGCAAGAGAAAGAGAAGGAGAAGGAGCAGGAGAAGGAGAAGGAGAAGGAGGAAGAGAAAGGGAAGCAGGAGTAGGAGAAGGAGAAAGAGCAGGAGGAGCAGGAGTAGAAGAAGGAGCAGGAGAAGGAGAAGGAGTAGAGTAGAGCAGGAGCAGGGGCAACAGCAGGAGCAGGAGTAGGAGCAGAAACAGGAGCAAGAGAAGGAGAAGGAGCAAGAACAGGAGTAGGAGTAGGACCAGGAGCAGTAGAAGAAGGAGTAGGAGCAATAGGAGAAGGAGAAGGATCAGGAGCAAGAGTAGGAGAAGGAGCTCGAACAAGAGCAGGTGCAAGAGCAGTAGCAGAGGAAGGAGGAGCAGGAGCAAAAGTAGGATCAAGAGCAGAAGTAGGAGAAGTAGCAAGAGCTGGAGCAGAAGAAGAAGGAGAAGGAGCAGTAGCAGTAGCCGGAGCAGGAGTAGGAGTAGGAGAAGGAGAAGGAGCAGGAGAAGAAGGAGAAGGACCAGGAGCTGGAGCAAGAGTAGTAGTAGAAGTAGGAGGAGTAGAAGCAGGAACAGAAGCAGGAGCAGAAAAAGGAGAAGGAGTAGGAGTAGGAGTAGAAGTAGAAGAAGGATCACGAGTAGGAATAAGGGTAGAAGAAGGAGTAGGAGAAGGAGCTGTAGTAGGAGTATGAGCAGGAGCAAGAGCAACGAGCAAGAGGAGGAGAAGGAGAAGGAGCAGCAACAGTAGCAGGAGAAGGAGCAGGAGAAGGAGCAGAAGCAGAAGCAGGACCAGAAGCAGGACCAGGAGCAGGAGAAGGAGAAGGAGCAGGAGAAGGAGAAGGAACAGGAGAAGGAGCAGGAAAAGGAGCAGGAGTAGAAGTAGGAGCAGGAACAGGAGAAGGAGCAGAGCAGGAGCAAGAACAGAAGGAGGAGAGCAGGAGCAGGAGAAGGAGCAGGGGCAAGAGTAGGAGCAGAAGCAAGAGTAGGAGTAGGAACAAAAGCAGGAGCAGGAGAAGGAGAAGGAGCAGGAGTAGGACCAGGAGCAAGAGCAGTAGAAGAAGAAGGAGTAGGAGCAGGAGAAGGAGTAGGAGGAGAAGGAGAAGGAGAAGGAGAAGGATCAGGAGCAGGAGTAGGAGTATGAGAAGGAGCTCGAGCAAGAGTAGGAGCAGTAGCAGGGGCAGGAGGAGGAGCAGGAGCAAGAGCAAGAGCAGGAGCAAAAGTAGGAGCTGAAGCAGGGGCAGGAGCAGAAGAAGGAGCAGTAGCTAGAGTAGGAGCAGCAGCAGAAGTATGAGCGGGAGCAGGAGAAGGAGAAGGAGCTCGAGCAAGAGCAAGAGCAAGAGCAAGAGTAGGAGCAGAAGCAAGAGCAGAAGAAAGAGAAGAAGAAGGAGAAGGAGAAAGAGCAGGAGCAAGAGCAGGAGCAGGAGCAGGAACAAGAGCAGGAGCAAAAGAAGGAGCATGAGCAGGAGAAGGAGCAGGAGAAGCAGCAGGAGAAGCAGAAGGAGAAGGAGCTGGACAGGAGCAGAAGCAAGAGCAGGAGTAGAAAAAGGAACAGGAACATGAAAAGGAGAAGGAGAAGGAGCAGAAGCAGAAGTAGAAGCAGGACCAGGACCAGGAGGAGGCGAAGGAGAAGGAGAAGGAGAAGGAGCAAGAGTAAGGGCAGGAAAAGGAGCAGAAGTAAGAGCAGCAGGAGAAGAAGGAGTAGGAGTAGGAGAAGGAGAAGGAGCAAGAGTAGTAGAAGGAGCAGAGCAGGAGCAGTAGTAGAAGCAGTAGTAGAAGGACTAGAGCAGGAGAAGTAGCAGGAGAAGGAGATGGAGCAGAAGAAGGAGTAGGAGCAGGAGTAGGGAGAAGGAGCAGAAGAAGGAGAACGAGCAAGAGAAGAAGCAAGAGCAAGAGAAGGAGAAGGAGAAGGAGAAGTAGCAGGAGAAGAAGCAGGAGCAAGAGCAGGAACAAGAGCAGTAGAAGGAGAAGAAGCCGGAGGAGTAGGAGCAAAAGTAGGAGCAAGAGCAGAAGTAGGAGAAGAAGTAGGAGCAGGGGTAGAAGAAGGAGCAAGAGTAGAAGCAGGAGAAGGAGCAGTAGCCAGAGTAGGAGCAGGAGCCAGAGTAGGAGCGGGAGCAGGAGTAGGAGAACGAGAAGAAGAAGGAGAACGAGAAGGAGAAGGAGCTCGAGCAAGAGCAGAAGCAAGAGTAGGAGCAGGAGCAGTAGCAGAAGCAGGAGGAGAAGTAGGAGCAGTAGAAGGAGCATGAGCAGGAGCAAGACATGAGCAGGACAGAAGCAGAAGCAGGAACAAGAGCAGGAGCAAAAGAAGGAGCATGAGTAGGAGAAGGAGAAGGAGAAGGAGCAGCAGCATGAGTAGGAGCAGAAGTAAGAGCAACGAGCAAGAGCAGGTGGAGGAGAAGGAGCAGCAACAGTAGCAGGAGCAGGAGAAGGAGCAGCAACAGTAGCAGGAAAAGGAGAAGGAGAAGGAGCAGGAGCAGGACCAAGAGAAGGAGTAGGAGCAAGAGCAAGAAAAGGAGAAGGAGCAGGAGCAGGAGTAGGAGCAGGAACAGGAGAAGGAGTAGGAGAAGGAGAAGGAGCAGAGCATGAGCCGGAGCAGTAGGAATAGAAGAAGGAGTAGCAGAAGGAGCAGGGGCAAGAGTAGGAGTAGGAGCAGAAGTAGGAGCAAGAGAAGGAGAAGGAGCAAGAGAAGGAGAAGGAGCAAGAGCAAGAGTAGGACCACGAGCAAGAGCAGTAGAAGGAGAAGGAGTAGGAGCAGGAGCAGAAGCAAGAGGAGAAGGATCAGGAGCAGGAGTAGGAGTAGGAGAAGGAGCTCGAGCAAGAGAAGGAGCAGTAGCAGGACAGGAGGAGGAGTAGGAGCAGGAGCAGGGGTAGGAGGAGGAGCAGGAGCAAGAGCAGGAGCAAAAGTAGTAGCAGGAGCAGAAGTAGGAGTAGAAGCAGAAGCAGAAGGAGCAGTAGCCAGAGTAGGAGCAGTAGCCAGAGTAGGAGCAGGAGCCAGAGTAGGAGCAGGAGCAGAAGAAGGAGCGGGAGCAGAAGAAGGAGAAGGAGAAGGAGAAGGAGAAGGAGCTCGAGCAAGAGCAAGAGTAGGAGCAGGAGCAAGAGTAGGAACAGGAGCAAGAGCAAGAGCAGAAGCAGGAGTAGGAGCAGGAGAAGGAGCATGAGCAGGAACAAGAGCAGGAGAAAAAGAAAGAGCATGAGCAGGAGAAGGAGCAGGACAGGAGTAGAAGCAAGAGCAGCAGCAGAAAAAGGAGCAGGAACAGGAAAAGGAGAAGGAGAAGGAGAAGGAAAAGAAGCAGAAGCAGGAGAAGGAGCAAGACCAGGAGCAGGAGGAGTCGAAGGACAAGGAGAAGGAGCAAGAGTAAGAGTAGGAGCAAGACAGGAGAAGGAGCAGAAGTAAGAGCAGGAGGAGAAGAAGGAGTAGGAGAAGGAGAAGGAGAAGGAGCAAGAGCAGGATCCAGAGTAGGAGTAGGAGCAGAAGTAGGAGCGGGAGCAGGAGAAGGAGAACGAGAAGGTGAAGGAGCAGGAGAAGGAGAAGGAGCAGGAGCAAGAGCAGGAGCAGGAGCAAGAGGAGGAGCAGGAGCAGTA